TCATCATATGGGAAAGAGCCATGTAATTGTAATTTATACTTTGACCCATGTCATCTTGATACCGTCTCAACTCCACATTGTACCAATCCATCGACAATTCATCTTCCACCGGGGTTACCGACGGGTCTTCTTGAACGTTTCCTTGCCTTGGTCTAACCCGTCTACCCGACTGTTTGGGAGTTATCACATCATCATCCTTCGGGATGGCAAAGTTACCATCACCATAGTCTTCAACAATCATTGCTCTCCTGTAAAGCATAAGACTAAATGGAGGTGTTAGTAACATGGTTAACATACTCCCGACTCCTCTTTCCAAAACCCTATATGACCTTGCTAATCGGGTAACAAACATTCCCTTATTTATTTTTAAAGTTACCATATTCTTCAGCGTTCTCTCTCCCAAATACCTCGTTAAGCAATATGGGAGATTGCAAAATGTATTGAGCGTGGTGATGCCCCACAAATAAAAAACATCAAGGTTCGGGACATTGTCATCATCTTTTCACATGTTTATTGTGCTAGCAATCAAGCGATGAATTAAACGATGAATGAGGGACCGTATGCTCCCCTCTTGAGCCGCAGAAGGAATGTAGACCCTATTTGCTATTGTATTCCACCATGCTCCATCATTTTTCCCCGCCGGAAAATATTTGTGGCGATTTTCCAAAAACATCCCAAATGCTTCAGTCATAACCTCAACTTCATCATAAATGCCCAGTCTCTAGCCCAACTCTACCATGCTGCATTCACAATATTCACCTCCAAGATAGAAAGTTAAAACATTATGATTATAAAAATCATTCCCTCCCCGGAATGATACTTTTGCAAAGAACTCTAGGCAAAGCTCCTGATACATTGGTTCTTGAAGTTGGAACAACCTCCTCCAGCCATTGCAAGTGATTGAGATCCTATTTTGAACAAACCTTAGTCAAATAAGGATTTTACGCCTCCGTCAAACCCACTTGACCCATCCATTCACAGTTCAGTTCATTTAGCACATAAATATCTTTTCCCTTGAGTGTCTCGAGCTTCTTCTTCCACCTAACCAAAGTCGACTTTTGTGTCAATTTGTGGAAAATTAAACCAAGGGAATTCCCCTCGGGTTCCACTTGAGCTTTGGCCTACTCTGAACATTTTCTGCAAATTCAACACAAAACAAAACCACAAAACCACAGAAACGTTAAAAATTAAAATTTGGACAATTGCAGCATGGACTCAACGAGTCCATGAATAGACGCGGCGAGTCGGAGGAACTGATCGAGTCGCCCTTCCGATTTGGACCAAATCAACAGTGAAAATTCAAAATTTATTCCAGGGGTTTGTCTAGGGTTGTCCACCAGGTGTTAATTTACAAAAAAAAAATCAACTATAACACTCTAAATCAGCCAAAAACGAAATGGAATTTGATTTGGGCGTAATTTGGGGGTGTTGGTGGTGGGTAATGAGAAGAATGATGATAGGCTGGGACTTGGGGTTAATCGCCGAATGCTCCAGGTGTTGTTCAACATCAGATTTGATTACTTCTCCATTTTTTTGATTTTGATAGTTTGGGGTTTTCATCTTCATCAGATGGTGGCTCCGGAGTAGAGTCTGAGTAATGCTAATTCCGGCTTGTCCAGTAGCTCCGACAACAAACATCGTATTAGGATCCTTACTTCTACCAAAAAAAGAACCCGAAGATGATGGATTACTCACAAATGGAATCAACGATTTCATATCAGAAACCTTCCCGAATTCGAAATTGAACCAAAATCGATTCTCGGTTTCACCTTCTCTGACAGAAGATACATCGGATTTCTTCGCACATACGATTAATCTCTTGGGGTTTTTGAGTGAGTGAGACTGGTCCGAGGTGCAGTGGCAAGGAGAAATGAGTTAGAGGTGAGAGTCGGACATGTATATTACCTTTGAATCCGGTTGCAGGTAACAAAAGGGTATTTTAAAACATGGAAATGAGAGTTTATTACTTTGATGTGCAAAAAAATAGTTTAGTGACCTTTTAAAACAAACGCCAAAAGTTTGATGGACTAATATGTGTAACACCGTAAATTTCCAAAAAAAAAATCGCATTTATAAAAACATAATTCATTTTTAAATCATAAAAACATCATTGTTTGAAACTCAATTTATAACATATAAAAATATCCCAAGATCTCATATCATAAAAATCCCGTGTGTGTACTGATCAAGCCGGCGCCTTCCCGCGATCCTCACTAGTACCTGAAACACATAACACAAAACACTGTAAGCACAAAGCTTAGTGAGTTCCCCAAAATACCACATATAACACATATTAGCCACTCGAGGCTATAACTCTGTGGGTCCGTGCACCCAAAACTCTGTGAACCCTCAGGTTCTAACTCTGCAAGCATGCACAACATAAATCACATAGAAGAATGCAGTGCAACAAACAATATATATAAAACACTGTATCACATAACTCTATTTACCTACTCAAGGTAAAGTATAGTGAGAAGACTCACCTCGCGTATCTCGGTAACTCGTAAATCCCTGAAATCACTAGTGCTCGATCTCCCGAGCTATAGTCCTCCTATAACACAATACATCTCTAATTAACACTTTCCCAACTAAGGTTGACTAACCCTATCAAGTCAACACCGGTCAACTCTGGTCAATGGTCAATGGTCAACCCAACTCGCCGAGTCTCTACGGGGACTCGATTCCTCTGAGTCCCTTCCGACTCACCGAGTCACTCACCCAACTCGGTTACTCAACCCCTGGTTCGAAATCCCTGAACAACCCGCACCAACTCGTCGAGTCTGCCAATGGACTCGGCGAGTGCATTCCATGCACAACCCCAAACGACCTTCTGAGGTCAGATCTGTTCCACTAACTCATAGATCCAGTCCTTCCAAGCTTATTTATCACGTAAAGTTCATGTCTTGGCGCTCATATCACACCTAATGACTCATAAATGGTGTTTTGACCTCAAGCACAAAGATCCCAAACCAAAACCTCCATGGATTCATAAAAAGCTTGGACAAAGGGACACTCTGGACCTCCAAGGGTCCAGATCCAGAACCTAACTCGCTTAAGGGACCAAAGGAGCACTAGATCTAGCCACAAAAGGGCTCAATAAGCCCTAAATCAACATGAACATCACCTCAACAGAAAAGGGTTCGAAAATGGTACCTCAAACGTGATGTTCTGGACCTCAAATCTTCAAGAAGTTAACCCTCTTGCTTCCTCTTGGCTATAGCTTCCTTTCCCTTGCTAGACAACACCACCAAGGTTAACAATGGATCCTTCTCTCACTCCAAACGCTCAAGCTCACTAGGGTTTCGCTATGGGGACTGGTGAGCACAAATGACGGCCATAAGGCCCTTTAAATAGGCCCCAAACCCGAGAAATTAGGGTTTCATTAAACAGCATTGGACTCGCCGAGTCCACCAATGAGACTCGTCGAGTCCGATCATTAATCCGGATGAGAAATCGCATCTCTACTCGGCGAGTCTACGCACCAACTCGCCGAGTTCTTCCATAAAACTCAAAATAAAATGAATAAATATAATACCTAAAATTTCGGATGTTACAATATGACATTTGCCCTTCTTTGTATCATATTTGATGTATTCTGAGTAAATCATGTAGTTCATGAAGTTTTGTATGTAATGAAAGTTAGAAGTGTTTTAACTAACGCATGTGTTTGAGTTAATGTAGCATAATTTTGATGTATCATGACTAAATTTTGATGTTTAATACTTGATGTATTATGATCAAATTATATACGAACTTGTGCAAAAGATGTTAAAGACAGGGAACACAAATGGCATTATAAACATCAGAAATGACGGTGCCAATATGTAACATTGATGTATCATGACTAAAGTTTGATATATATTGAACCTGTGCAAACATCTAAGTAAACATGTAATGTATACAAACATCTAAATAAACATGTACTTAAATAAAAATGTTAAAGTACCTTACAATACAAAAGATTCCCAAACATACAGGACTCAAGATGTTAAAGTACCAAACATTCCAAAAAATGTGTCAAGTTTGTCCCATTGTTCCAATATCTATTACAAGACCCAAGATTCCAAAATGTGCATACCAAAAGTTGTGCAAAAATATAAACAACACATTAAATTCAAATCTCCAATGGGTGTTCATTACTGCTTCCCAATTTCATCCCTATGTTCTTCCTTAGCATAATCTTTGTAATTTTTTCTGAAGTTTTTCTTGTCCTCTTCTTAACTTGAATGTCTGCATTGTCTTGTATTTCTTGTTCCATATTATCTTGAACTTCTTCTTGAATGTTAACTTGAATTTCATGTTCCACCTCATCTTGAATCTCTTATTCAATGTTATATTAAACTAAAGGAACTTCAATGTTATCATCCACTTCAGGTACTTCAATGTTAGCTTCCACATCAACTTCATGAACTTCAATGTTAGCCTCCACATCAACTTCAGGAAATTCAATGTTAACCTCCATTTTAGGTACCACATCACTTGTAGCTTCCATTTCAATGTTAGCTTCCACATCAATTTTACTTTCAAAATTACCATCACTTTCAGTTTCAAACATAACTGCATGTTCCACTTCCAATTCAACTTCAAGGTCTACTTGAACATCAACTTTACTTGTAAGAGGGAAAAAGTTATGAAATGGCACATAAGTGTAATATATTAGATAAGTTAGCACCATACCTTGTTTCTTAGGTTTCTTTTTTTAGAACCTGAAGTAGATGGTACATCATTTGGTCTTTGAGGAAGTGTTGTTCTGTTATGCCCTCTTTCCATACAAACGGTACATCTCATGACCATTCCCTTTTTTGAGACTGTATGCCTTGTTCCCTTAACTTCTCTCTCAACTTGATCCCTTTTCCTTTTCATTGTTGGTCTTCCAGGTAGCCTTCTTTGTTTTTAGGGGGTAATGGTTTGGTGTAATCCAATTCAGGCCACATAGCACTACAATTCAGTGGCCTAATGTTATACATATAACAACTTGCATCTATTGATGTAGTAAACCATTCTGACACATAGTCCTCAGGGTCCCTATTGAGGCTTGAAATGGCATCATATCCATGCACACAAGGATACCCTGCTAACTGCCATGCCCTACATCCACATTGTCTGATATTAAGGTCTACAACATATCCATCAGTCCTTACCCTTACCTCAAATTGCATATAACCAGGAGGTACCACTTGCCAAAACCTATCCATAATCATATAGAAATTAGAAAATATTAAAAATGTCAAAAATATAAGCAATAAGAATTTAACTTTGTTGTTCCTTGAGCTTGTTCAGCTTCAACCTTATGGAAGGAGATATGTTTAAATCCCAAGATTGACCATTGGTCTTGTAGATACACAACCTTTCCATTACATAAATCTAGATTTCTTCTAACATGGCAATGAGTGGTTTCTTCATAGTAGCTTCAATCATTGAGTTAAAACTTTCAGAAACACCATTTTCATATGCATCACAAATCCTATCAACCCGATAAATGTTTTACACTAGGTTTTAGGGTCCTTTTCCATCAAATATTCATAAACTAGTGGTTCCAGCTTCTTGATTTCATTCATATGGTACTCAAATTTTTGTGTAATTATAGATCCAAAGCTCTCCAAAACAGCTTCCTAAATATTTTCCCCTTAAATATTTTTTGGAAATTAGCACAGATGTGCCTAGCACATTGCCTATGCTCAGTAGCTGGAACCCTTTCCTTCGCAGCTTGAACTAATCCTTATAATCAATACATACAAAGCATAAGCTAAAACATATTAAGTATGGAAAATAACAATAAAGTAAGTTTAAACATCACTTTGTGTTGGTATGATATTATGGTTATTCCATGCCCAACTCTCATTCCAATGTCATCAATCAAAAGATCAAGAAACCACTTCCATGTTTCTTTATTTTCCATTGCAACCAAAGCCCATATAACATGATATATGTGGTTGTTTGCATCCATCCCAATGGCTGCAAACAACTGACCTCTATATGCCCTTTAAGAAACAACCATCTACTCCAACTACCCTCATACAACCCTTTATCCATCCATCCTTCAAACCCTTTAAACAAACATGAAACGTTGAGAAGTATTTTTCTTCATCAGGCATCACATCTACCTCTATCTTAACTGTTGATTCAAGAATTTTCCTTTTTAGCTCTTCTCCATAGGTCCATGTTTTGGCATAATACTCTATTAAAGTACCTTCTGTATGTTGAAATGCATATTTCCTAGCATTTATGCACTATCCAACACTTGCTATAAGGTTAAACCTTTTACCGACCTTAGCTTTCAATTTCCTAATGCTCATCTTTGGTTTATGTAATATATCATTCATGAAATGAGTTCCAATCCATTTGGACCCAAATTTGAATACTCTTGAACAATTATGCCTATCAATTAAGGACTTAATCTGAAAAGACCTCTCATTATTCATCCATGCTGCCCACAATCTAAAGGGACAAATCTTATTCTTCTTATTCTTCTTATGTTTACAACATTTTGCCAACAAATTTTGATGATCATTTTTTTCATACCATAAATCATACCCATTCTTGACGGCATAGTTGGTTAGACATATCTTTAATTCAAGAGGGTTGGAAAACTTCATACCTAAAACTACGACCATTTTATCATATTCTTGATTCTCATCAAAAACGAGGAACATAACCTCATCATCTTCATCACTGACATCATCATCATCATCATTTACTTCTTCTTGATTACTATTAAGAATGGGTTTACCACACAACTTGTTCAAAAATTCATCATCAACTATTTTGTCAAAAGTATGCACCTCTTCATTAGGTTCATGCTCACATTCCATTATATTCGAAATATATGAGTTTGTATCATCATCTTCTACCAACTTAGACACCTTATCACCTGTTAACATCTTCTTATCGACCCAGTCAAGAATAGGTTCGTTTTGGTGGTCAATGTAAACACTCATTCTTAGCTCGTTCTTAGCCATGTAACCATCTTCAATAAACTCAAAATAATCAGCATCATTGTCAATTCTTCTAATACCCTCTGCCAATCTTTCATGAGTACTACAATAGTACAAATTATCACAACTTCGTCTTGTCAGCTTTGAAACCCACAAAACAAATTCTCTATAGTTCATGCCACCAAAATCCACATTACGAACTGACATTCTCATACGGTCTAAGTACACTAACGGGTTTGGTGCAAACATTCCGTTGTAGTGAAAATCTACAGTGAGATACGTATCGTTAGGTGATTCCATTATAGTGTCTACAGTCGATGATTTCGAGTCCCAACTTCAATTCCAAACAATGAGCTCCTACTGCTTGCTGCGATCGAGTGATTATTGAGAAAAATTAATTAATCGGGAATGATTTGGGGAATGATTTGAGAGTATTTGTTAAAAACCCTAATTAAATGAGGTCGATTCATCCTGATTAAATGAAGTCGAATCCGAACAATGGTGTAATAGACACGTCATATGCCACATAATTTCTTTTAAATGAGTTAATTTGACTTACTGGTTAAAACTAATATTAACCAGTAATATTTGTATAATTTAAACAGAATTAGTTATTTTTTTTTTATGTAAAAAAAAAAAGTTATCCGATCCGACATAAAAATAGTTACCCTCATTTTCTCTTTAATAAAAAAAAAAATAACATTTCTTTTACCCTTTTTTTTTCACTCCAATCGATTTCATTTCCATTTTCCATTTTTCTTCTTTTTCCCGGTTAAGTTGAACTGTGGAAATGTGAATGATTCGTTTGACGTCCTTGCCCCTTGTGCCCTAATAACCTTCGACACCCAAACATCGCATACGCTTTCCATTTGTAACTTCCGGCCACCAGACTTGGGCGAACCTTACCTCCAGCCACTTCAGGGAGTTCCTCCGCCACTCCATGAAAATTTAAAAACTTTATACAGTTATAATACCGATTTTCATCACATACTGAATTTTTGTGCTCTTTAGGTAACTTAGCCTACTTCTCTCAGGTTTATGCTGTACGCATGAACTCTTTTGTCTCGAGTCTTTGATAAATGTGCTTTTTTATTCTCACTTGTTAGTAGGCATGAGTTTATTGTTTTAATTATAAAGGAATAAGATCGTATGGAATAGTTATTTGAGTAGTAAAAAACATACATAAGGTTTGCTTCACTTTAAATATAAAGCTTCATTTGGTTTTTGTAGATTGATTTTGTTCAAGGAATGGGGAAATCCTCAAAGAAAACGAAGAAAGTTCAGAAAAGGGACATTAGTTCAGATGATGATGATGATAACATCACATATCAACTTCAGAATGTAAGTAATTCCTTATGTTTTCTCCTCTCAAAATGAACTCTATAAGAGTGTATATAGAGAGAGTTAAATTTTGTTGCTCATTGTATATTTCCCGCTATATTTTAGGTGGATAATGAGAAACATGGCATTGAGGATAGTGATACTAATGGAGATGAAGGCAGCGATGATGAAGAAGAGTATGACTCAGAAATGGAAATTATGAATGTAAACACTAAACAGAGCTTTTTATTGCATCTTTATCTTTGTGACTGTAGTCTGTATATTATTTATTTCATTGCAAATTTGTTTATGGATGTAAAACTTTTTGTTGGCATAGTTGGAGAACAAGGAAGATGTTTCTGGAAATGAGGACAGTGATACTATGGGAGAGGATGATGATGATGATGATGAAAATGAGAGTGATGCAGAGGATGATGATGATGATGGTGTAGACATGAAAACAGAAGACAACAATCATTCTGATCAGGAAGAACTTGAGAAGGAGTTAAATGATCTTCGCCACCAGGAACAGTAAGGCCAATGTTTTTTCTTCTTCTTCTGATTGATTGATTTATATAATAATCCAAATCATTCACTCTTACATGATGTTTTTTTTTTTTTTTCTTGTGAACATTTGCAGAGACCTTTTCAGAAACATACGAAGAGACCCAAATGAGGATCTTCAGAAAAGCGAAGCAGTAAAAAATCAAAGGGTATGTGAGTCTTTTATAATTTTCCTGCTGAATCTTGTGGATTAATCTAATAATCTCATTGATCTTTTTCAAGGCTCTCTGGGACAAAACTCTTGAGTTCAGATTTTTACTGCAGAAATCATTCTCAAATTCAAATCGACTCCCACAGGTCTACTTCAGATTACAAAATTTTATACTCTTTTAACATCTAGTAGGCTAAAACATGAAACTTTAAATATGAAAAATTTTCTACAGGAGCCAATCAGATCTGCTTTCTGCAATTCTGATGAAGGAGTTAAAGAAGCATATTCAGACCTAATTGATTCAACTAAGAAAACCCTAGATTCTATTCTTAAATTGCAGGAGGTAAAAGCCTTGAGAAATTATTCATTTTCTTCAGTGGGTTGTTTATCTTGCATGAATTGTTTTGTTGTACTAAATGTTTATTAATGATAACTTCTTTTAATAGGCACTTGTTGAGAAGAATCCTTTAATTATGGAAGCAACTGAAGGTATATTGCACAATATGATCTCACACAAACAATTAAATGTTTGGGCTAAATGCAAGAAATAATAGCATGTACATCCTATTGATGGAACGTTTGGGTTAATTGCAGAAAATTCTAAAAGTGTAGAAGCTTCCAGAAAAGGAGATGAAGAATGGTTCAAGATTTCTGAAATGCAGTCTAGGTACTTACTTCCATTTTACATATCTATGATCTATCTTTCCCAATTGAATTATACTCCTTTGTGTTTTTGTTTGAAGAGCTGAGTAATTTTATTGATATGAATGATGCAGAATTGGTTCATTTAGAGATATGTCGGTGGATAAATGGCAGAGGAAGACACAGGTGACAAGTGGCGCTGCTGGCATCAAAAACAAATTCCAAGCCTTCAATCAGGTTTCATTTACAAATTACAAGTTTGCCCTTGCCCTCCCTCATTCAAATATCTATTTTTTTATTGAACATCTTTTATCCAGTAAACACTACTTTATTCAGTCATCCCTTAATAAATGTGTTTATTATTTGAGTCTTGCAGAATATCAGTGAACAAGTTGCGTTTTACATGCGGGACCCAAGTAGAATGATCAAAGGGATGCAGCAAAGGAGATCTGTCGTCCCAGTTTTTGGAAATAATGTAAGTCTGTAAAATGCATCCTTCATTCTGCATAGAAAAAAACGACTTATTATTATTATTTATTTATTTATGATTCTCCACTTTTATTTAATTTTGATGCTTGTGTTATTGGCAGGTTCCCAACTCAAGTGTCGATGATGATGATGGTGATGGTGATCCTGAACTGCTTGATGACTCTGAATTCTATCAACAATTACTGAGAGAATTTTTTGAAACTGTTGATCCCGAATCCTCAGAGGCTGCATTTTATGCCCTCAAAAGACTACAAACCAAAAAACGTAAAATTGTTGATCGACGTGCTTCTAAAAGCCGTAAAATCAGGTACGTAATGACATATTTGCCCCTACGGAAAAAAACAAGTCCTTAATTAATTGGATTCTGAAATGAATTTTGCAGGTATCATATCCATGAGAAGATTGTGAATTTCATGGCTCCTCAGCCCGTTAACGTACCTCCAATGGCGCCTAAATTGTTTGAAAACTTGTTTGGCCTCAAAACCCAAAAACTTGCTTCTTCACTATCTTAACCACTTTTTTTAAAATTTGCATTTTTTTTTTTTTTTTTAAATTTATAATGTAACTTTCGTTATCCTTTCCTTTGTTGTATGGTTGTGTGGGCTCTAATTTGAATTAGAGCAAATTACATTTTTGGTCCATGTGCTTATAGGAAAATCATGGATTGGTCCCCTGAAAGGCTTTTGTTACTGATTTTCATACCTGTGATTTCAATTTGTTTCAAATCCAGTGAATTTAGAACTGATAAAAAATGTGAATGAACACTTTTACCTTTTGTATTTTGAAATCAATTTAAATGTTATTTGTACCAGAAAAATAAAAACCAAAAGAAAGATTAGAAAGTAATAAACGCAGTATTTAGGAATCCAGAAGCGTAGTCTAATTTAATCATCTACTTTTGCACCTTTTTTAGACTTGGAATAAATAGCTGTTGATTTATATGGTTACGTAAAGCAAAAAACACTATACTGGACACCTCGTAGCAATCTCTTATTCTAAATTAAATTGCAACCTCACAACCCTTCTGGAAATACGATATTGAGAAATCGTATAATGAAGACTCCCACAAGTTCTACAACGAGGGAAATGTCAATTTGTCAACTAACAACTTAAATTATCTAAACGAAGCTTCAACCGTGTTATTTGTCATCCAGTAAATTGTACACCATTAGACAAACTTTGGACTTAAGCAACAAAATGGTTTAGGATTTGAAAACTATAATTATGCCGATTCTTTGACATATGATGTTTGGACCTCTTCCCATGGAAATGTCAATTCCTACCTAGCATTGGTTCCAGCTGCAAAACTTGGCTAAATAAGTTGGTTGTCGTTATCCACATGTGAGCTAACATGTGAGCTAAGGGACTTTATATTTTGTACTCTAATATATGCACAGGGTTGTGCGGAGCGCACACATGTATAAGATCGAATTAGAAACCAGCTTGACAACCACTTGGGGGTCCGGAGGCAACGCCCCTGGGTCCGGGGTTTTCAAAGGGACAACGTTCCTTTGGCAGGGTCCAAGGGGCAGAGCCCCTTACTGAATTTTACATATGTAAACATAGTGAAAAATTCAATTTCTTGAGGGTGATTATGGTCAAACTAACGAAACTTGTTAGTTTTGGTAACCCTAAATCCCCATTAAATCCGGATTATCATGTCTTGCTTCCAAAGCAACTAATGACGGTCCAACCCTAATGAAACCTTAAACTTGTTTAATATATAAACAATTCTTCCTCTTTAGAAGAGGGTTACGATCTTAAGTTCTCGTTTTCATCATACTTTCATAGAATCCTCTAGCATATTGACTTACGATTTATGTGCCTAGAATCGTAAGTGTCCATTTGGATTATCCTAGACTGAATTTCTTGTAACCCAGACATAGGGTAGAAATATCAGTTCGTAAATGATATCACGATCCAAGTTGGTATCCAGATCTCCACCATAAACCCTAAATATTTCCCTACAATAGTCATGTTATGGTTCCAGTAACAAAAGACAAGCAAATTAGTGTTTTTTTTTCAAGCCGGTGAAATACCATTATGTTTAAAAGCTTTTCATGATTTGCTAGAAAAAACTAGTTTTTCCAATCCCCAATGAGAATTGTGAGGAACACTAAAAATTATGAATTTTTTGTTAGAAGTTCTTAAAAGAAGCAACCACAATTATTATTATTATTATTATTATTATTATTATTATTATTATGTGTTTATTTACATGGAAGTCTCTTGGTTCTCAATCAAAATTTCTTGATCTATGGAATATTATTTCAATGTGATTTGTCATCTAATAGCATGTATGTTTTTATATGGTTATCAAAAATGGATATTTTTTTTATTATTAAATTTCGGGAGTTACATTTGACTTTTGCTTGTTTCGTTGTCATAAACCATACTATAGGTGTTGTTGGTGTAGAAACCTTAATTTCATAAATTTTAGACGATTATATCTAAAAAGAACCAAAATTTGTCGAAAATCAAATATTTATTTTCAATAAACTTTTCAAAAGTTATTTTATCATTAAGCAAACAAATATGCTAAACAATGTAAATTAATAAATGGTTATATTTGGAGGATGACAACATGGAATTACCTAGACTGAGAAATCTATCCAACTATCTGAAACTTTGTGGGAGAAAGCTAGTAGACAACAACAATGTTCATCCCAAGTAATGAACTGAAAATTTGTATGACATCAAACTTTAGACAATAAATGAATATAAAAATAAATTTAAAACTCTTGCTATTTTGGTTTGGTGAAAAGAAAATGAACCCATTTATAGTATTAGCCGTCATGGCCAAAGATTCACTAACTATCCAATCTTTTACGATAGCTTTAGATTCAACATTTCTCTTAGTAATAGAGTAATATCGGAATGAAGGTTACGACTTATTGCCGAAACGATATGGAGTATGCTTTTGTTTGAAGAATTATTTGGATGACCTTGAAATGCTACATTTATGCTTCGCTTGAAGGGCACTTTTACCACGCACATCCATGAAGTAGAAGTTTCACTTGGGATATCAATTTTAGTGACCGAAGTAAATCTTTTTTGAACGAAAAAAAATCACACACACATACACACACTAAATCCCTACCCTATTCCTATAATATTTTTTTTATCTAAAGCAAGACTTGAACTCACAATGTATGCCTAAGGGGTACATTCCACTAAGAGCCGGTACCAGTGGACTACACAAGCCCTTTGTCGATCGAAGTAGATGATGGTGACATTGTGAACCAAGACACCATCCAATAATTTTCAAATTTGATAAACTCGATTCATGAGGAAGACCATTTGGCAAACTAAAAATAATTATACTTTCAATTTTTATTTTTAAGTTTTCGTATTTTTATCCTTGTTTTTATTTTATATTTTATAACAAATATAACACACATATTTATTTGGCTGATGTTAAATTAAAATTTTCAAAAACCTAAAAAGGATAACCAAATTATCTGTAATCTATGTCTGATCTGCATCTGATTACACTTGATATCTATTTCCCAATAAAAAGTTCGGAAACACGTGTTAGTCTTACCTGGATTCTGATTCTTACATATCTGATATGGATTAAATAAAAATATGAGTCTAGATTAATCCAACAAATATGCACAATCGACAAGCGGTAGCCAAAACAATCATTGTTCCAGTAAAACCCTAGTCTTGAACCATTCTTTCTCATGAACCTCTCAATGAACATTTAGAAGTTATACCTTTAATCTGCTGAAAAGCAAGATTACGTAGAACTTTTTGTAACATCCTAAAATTCAAGACTAGATTATTAAATTAATAAACTAAATAAATAAATGGTGATTTATATAAATAAATCATTGATGAATAATCATATGATAAGTTGATATGATGTTTAGAAAGTTAAAAGTGAAAATAATAACATTTTAAAAGTTAAAGGGTTAAAAGTGTCAAGTTGAGAACGTAAGTTGACCAAAGGGTTGGTTCAATTAATGGAATGGACCACCAAAGTTATATAATGGATGGAGTAAGACTTGTTACGTCAACCTTTTATACAAATGTGAAAAAATGAAGTAATGATCAATTTGACAAAAGATGAAAAATCCAAAAATAAGAGTACGCCGTCTTCGTTTTAGCCAAATGAGATCAATGGGAGGAGAAAGGAGGCTATGAAATGGTAATTCAAGCCTAAGAAAAACCATAGGATTCGATCTCAAGCTTTCTTGGTTCATTAGGTGCAAGTTTTGAAGAAATCAAGTGGTTCAAGGTATACTTTTGTTCCCCCCTTGGTGTAGAACTTGAGTTTCATTTATGGATTTAGAGTTATATACGATTTTCATCTCATTCGAGGACTAGGATTTTTGTTCTAAGCAAGTTATGTTGATTATGTTTGGTTCTAATCTCAATCCAATCATTATATTGATGGATTTGATGATTTGGGAGAAAACCCACATGAACCCTAGAAATCTAAATTGGGGATATTTTAATTGATGATGAAATGGGAGTGGATTATATGATGTAGATTATATTTTATATCAACAAACCCAATTGGAATGCTCAAATTTATCAATGATGGCAGAATCAAGTATAAACATGGATTTGTATTGATTTTTGAGGAAATCGTGATTACAACAATGGAATCATTTGTATGTGAGTATTTGATTGGTATATGATAAACAGGATTTGATAATAATAATATGGTTTGAATACAAAAACATGAATACTTGAATGATCTTTAGTTGAATTTATGGAATATTTGGTTATAAGGGTATTTTGGGAAATTTATGGATAACTACATGATGATTGACATATTATAAGTGAATGCCATTCATGAACATGAATTGACACTCTAGAGATGATATTGGAACATAAACATGAATGAATGCTAGTAAAGCTCAAGCTCTAGTGATTGTTTTGGCTCAACGATAATTTGGGAACATGGAATGGAATTGAGGATTCCATATTTAATTGATGTATTTAACATGAGATTCGTGTAATGTTAAATGCTTGACAACATAAAATGATGTTTTGAATGACTTTGTAATAAGTCACAATGGTTGGAATGCAAGGGTGAGAAGCTTATGCTCTTAATCCTCTCAATTGTGTAATTTTGAGCATTATGAGCTTATCTTGTAAAGCAAGGACTTAATGAATCAAGTTAAATGTTTTGACATGATAAAAAATCATCTAAATATGTTTGAGAATCCACAAAAATGGTGCAAGTTGAAAGCTTAAAGGTCTTAATCAATTTAAACAAGTTTGGGAAGCAAAACTTGAATTATAGGCTTTTTGGGCATATAGACCCTTCCACACGACTCCATGTGGCCTCCCAAGGAAAATCCACATGACCAGTGTGGAACATGTTGTTTGGATAATGTGTTTTCCTTATAATTTTTGCATAGAGATTTAGATTTACGTATGGTTTTCGCCTATATTCATATTTTTACATGAGAAATCATTTGAAACCATAAAATTTAGTAATGTAACCTATGAAGGGTATTTCGGTTATTTAAATGAGTTATGTCCACATTGTATAGGTGATGCTTGAGAGTGTTGCTCTAAGGAAATGAACTAGAAGAGGACTAGCTAACCTTCTTGTGATCAATGTGTGTACGTGTGGACTTTT